TCCCTTCAGGACAGACCTAGTACTGGTCTCGACTCCCTTCAGGTCAGACCTAGTACTGGTCTCGACTCCCTTCAGGACAGACCTAGTACTGGTCTTGACTCCCTTCAGGACAGACCTAGTACCGGTCTTGACTCCCTTCAGGACAGACCTAGTACTGGTCTTAACTCCCTTCAGGACAGACCTAGTACTGGTCTCGACTCCCTTTAGGACAGACCTAGTACTGGTCTTGATTCCCTTCAGGACAGACCTAGTACTGGTCTCGACTCCCTTCAGGACAGACCTAGTACTGGTCTTGACTCCCTTCAGGACAGACCTAGTACTGGTCTTGACTCCCTTTAGGACAGACCTAGTATTGGTCTTGACTCCCTTCAGGACAGACCTAATACTGGTCTCTACTTCCTTCCGGATAGGCTTAGTCTCGACTCCCTCCCACTGCACTGCCCAGGAGGGTCTGGGACCAACACTCATGATGGATGTCTGGAAGAAAATTAAAGTTTAAATAGTCTAAGGATAGTACTCAAATACTTTGTATTCACTAGTAAAGTACCTTCCAACTGTGTTGGGGAGAAGAAATCTTTTTGTTGACCAATGAAGAAGATAAGGTTTGTTCAGAGTCACAAATTCCAGTGTCCTCAGCTAAAAGCTGGTCAAGAATCACAGATACAGTATGACACAATAATATTATAAGTAAGTGTTCTGGACAGGAACATTTTAATATGTAGTATTTAATAAAGGCGCAAGGTAGAGCATTTTATTTGTTAATTAAAGCACACTAGCATAACCATAACATAAGCAGTCAGTCTTTTGATCAGCTTCATAAGCTCAGGAATAATTCATTAGCCTTTGACCATACACCTTTGATTTTTTACAAGATTTATTACCAGTTAGAGATGCTATATCAGACACTCAAGATTGTACCATTCTTTATCCCAAAGCTGTAAAACTGGAATTTACAATTTTAACCCAACCTTCAATGGTTTATCATACTGAAAAAAGCATCAACAATTAAAATAGATGACAAAGTCCAAAATATCTTAATGAACAGCATAATCATTTCAAACAATTCTTTCAATTTGAGTGATACTGTAGGTTTAAATAACAAAGTATGAATTATTTGGTACTCAGTAGGATATGTATGCATATAGCTTTTATTAGGATACAGCTTGAATGAACTTGATTACTTGTTGAAGGTAAAGATGGTATTCTGCAAAACAAAAAAAAAAAAAAAAAAAAAAACAAAAAAAAAAAAAACAACAAAAAAAACAAACAAAAAAAACAAAAAAAGAAAGTAGAACATTACTACCATTGATAACTGAGCAGTATGACATACCTTTTTTACTCACATTCTATTCTACGACTTAGCAATTGAGTGTCAACCTGAATAAACTAATTAATAGATACAATCTACGGGTGCAGATCAAAAGTCCGAAAAAAAAAAAAAAAGATGTATGTTCATTTGGTCAAAATATAAAACAAAATCTACCTCCTGTGACCCTCTATGCTTGAGGAAATAGAATGACTGGTTGAATACCCAGAAATTCTTGAATGAAGACTTGAACTGCGGACATGACCAACCAGTGGAGGTTCACTGGAACTTCTTGCATGGCCAGGAATAAAAGGCACCTTGGGACCTCCGGGAATGCCACTACCAGCTCCCTGAGACTCTGCTGAATTGTTACTACTCTGACTTTCTTTTATGCTGGTGTTGTCCTCTGTACTTGCTTCGCAACTTGACATAGAAGAAGCTTTATTCTGTGGGGCTCGATTCTCTTCTGTTTCTGTTGAAACAGCATGGTGAAGATGAGGAGTTCCAGGTCTATATAAAAGAATGAATACATATATGTAAGCAAGACCCAAGTTTAATTGATATATATATTTAAAATAATTTAGATGCTGTGTTTGTTGTGAACGACAAACACACTTCTGGATATCCAGTCATATATTGTTAACAAGTGGTAGCTTGAAGAAGAAGGGTACAATTGGAGGTTCATTTGAGCCTAAATCTGAATGGGTCATGCATACTTTACAAAATGATTTAACAATCTGAAAGCCACCACTGCTTGCATTGAATTCCCAACATTCAGATAAATGTTTTTGGCAACAAAACATTTCAAATTGTTAAGACTACCTATGGCTATTGTGAACAATCCGTTTGTAAAATGGTCGGTAAGGTGTCGGTAAGTGGTCGGTAAGTGGTCGGTAAGTGGTTGGTGAGTGGTTGGTAAGTGGTTGGTAAGGTGTCGGTAAGTGGTTGGTAAGGTGTCAGTAAGTGGTTGGTAAGTGGTCGGTAAGTGGTCGGTAAGTGGTTGGTAAGGTGTCAGTAAGTGGTTGGTAAGTGGTCGGTAAGTGGTCGGTAAGTGGTCGGTAAGTGGTCGGTAAGTGGTTGGTAAGGTGTCAGTAAGTGGTTGGTAAGTGGTTGGTAAGTGGTTGGTGAGTGGTCGGTAAGTGGTCGGTAAGTGGTCGGTAAGTGGTCGGTAAGTGGTCGGTAAGTGGTTGGTGAGTGGTCGGTAAGTGGTTGGTAAGTGGTTGGTAAGTGGTCAGTAAGGTGTCAGTAAGTGGTTGGTGAGTGGTCGGTAAGTGGTTGGTTAGTGTTTGGTGAGTGGTTGGTAAGTGGTCGGTAAGGTGTCAGTAAGTGGTTGGTAAGTGTGGTCGGTAAGTGGTTGGTTAGTGGTTGGTGAGTGGTCTGTAAGTGGTTGGTAAGTGGTTGGTGAGTGGTCGGTAAGGTGTTGGTAAGGTGTTGGTAAGTGGTCTGTAAGTGGTTGGTAAGTGGTTGGTAAGTGGTCGGTAAGGTGTCGGTAAGTGGTTGGTGAGTGGTCGGTTAGTGGTGGTAAGTGGTCGGTAAAGTGTCGGTAAGTGGTTGGTAAGTGGTTGGTGAGTGGTTGGTAAGTGGTTGGTAAGTGGTCGGTAACTGACTTACTGACACCTAACTGTACGGTGCGGATTGTTCACAATAGCCCTAATTATACATTTACAGTTTTGATTAGAAAATGACTAGAATTAGGCTCAGAATACTTATTTGCAGAGAGCTTAAGGTGACTGCCTACTTTTGAATGTTCAATTTGAGCTTCAAATGCTCACATGAGGCTTCCATTAAATGATGATTATCTTGAAAACAAGTTTGGGACACCCAATTTTTCTTTCCAGATTTGGAGTCAGGATTAAATTTGAATTAGGAAAATCCAAGTTTTTAAAAAAAATTAAATTTTTTTCCAAAAATAGGCAGTCACCTTAAAGTGCAAATGAACCCTTCGACAATACTTTCA